TGGCCAGAAGGGAGTCCAGGTGAGGCTTCTGGAAGCCTGTGAAATCAGGTGGGGAGGACAGGGGCTGTCACTGAAATCCTGACTCCAGTCCCCACCTGTGTGTTGTGGGGTCCAGTAGGCAGCTAGCTCAGTTTCCTTATCTGTAAAATGGGGCTAAGGAGATCAACCTTGTGGGGTGATGTGAAGATAAATGAGGGAAACAAATACCCACTACTCTTGTGCCTAGTACGTAGTAGATGCTTAAGAAACATGTGTTTGCCTGTTGCCTATCCCTTCCGCACTCACTGCCTCCCCGCTGAGCCTAATCCCTGACAAGAAGAGAAATCATCCAAGCATGAGCCTACCTGAGCATGCTCTACTTTTTGTTTAGAAAAATCTCTTTAATGAAGTAAAAGATTATTTCTAATTTTTATTATACAAATTTTTTGTACACATGGAGAAGTATTAGAATAGTGTAATGGGCACCTACACAGCCATCACTAGATTTAACCATTGTGGCTGTTTTGCTGTATCTGCTCTATTTATTTTTTTGTTGAAATATTTTAAAAGTAAATTACAGACATCATGACATTTCACTCCTAAATACTTAAGTACATATCCCTAAAATCTAAGGACATTTTCCTACATAATCACAACGCCATTATCATGTCTAGTGGGATAATCATAATTTCTTATTAAAATCTAACATTCCATATTCAGATTCCCTTGTTGCCCCCAAAATTTCTCTTACAGCTGATTGGTTGAAGTCAGTATTCAATCAAGGACTATGTGTTGCCATTGGTTGGTATTTCTCCTAATTCTCTTCTTATTTAGACTAGTGCTTGTCAGACTTTCATGTGTACATACAGTCATTGGGAGTTCTTGCTAAAATGCAGATTCTGATTCGGGCGTTGGTGAGGGGCCCAAGCTTCTGGGTGCCTAACAAACTCTTCTTTTTTTTTTTTTTCAAGCTTGTGTATTGATTTATTTAAGCAGTCTCTACACTTGATGTGGGGCTCAGGCTCACACCCCCAAATCAAGAATTGATATTTAATGAGCTCTGTAACAAATTCTTTTTTTTAAATAAATATTTTATTTATTTATTTATTATTTATTTATTTTTTAAGATTTAATTTATTTATCTGACAGAGAGAGATTACAAGCAGGCAGAGGCAGACAGAGAGAGAGGAGGAAGCAGGCTCCCTGCTGAGCAGAGAGCCTGATGCGGGGCTCGATCCCAGGATCCTGAGATCATGACCCGAGCCGAAGGCAGCGGCTTAACCCACTGAGCCACCCAGGCGCCCCAAAGATTTTATTTATTTATTTGACAGACAAAGATCACAAGTAGGCAGAAAGGCAGGCGGGGTTGGGGGAGGGAAGCAGACTCCCTGCTGAGCAGAGAGCCGGACATGGGGCTCGATCCCAGGACCCTGAGATCATGACCCGAGCTGAAGGCAGAGGATTAACCTAGTGAGCCACCCAGGCGCTCCTGTAACAAATTCTTAACAGACTCTTAAGTGATGCTGCAGACAGTCCATGGAATACACTTGGAGCAGCAAAAGTCTCGAACAAGCCCCCCTATATCTTTCCTATGACATTGACTTGTAGAATGTGGGCAAGTTGTCCTGTAGAATGTTTCTTCTGCCTCTAACTGGTTGCTTCCTCAAGGTGTCATTTCCTTTGTTCATCTACCCACTGTATTGTCTGGAAACTGGAAGTTAGGTCTGGAGGTGAGTATACTGCCCATAAGACATATGTCGTGAGAATATATCACTGGGCATTCTGCATGTTTCATATTTTATCTTATCAAGAGGTACGTGAAGACGCCTTTCATTGGGAGTCATGGTTGGACATCAAAGTGTCCTTGATCACTTGGTATTGTAGGTAAGTGCTGTTGGATGTGAGTGCACACTTCTGGGGAGGTGGGGAAAGGATTCATTAACTGCACAAGATTCTCAAAGGGGTCTTAGAAATTTTCACTCATGAAAGACAATCTGGTGTACTTCTCAAACCCTTGAAGGACATCAGAGCTGTCCCCAGTTCCTCTTTTTGTCCTTATCTCCTCACCCACAGAAGTGTCTGGGCAGTGTGAGGGCCATCACCTTTTGCTTGTGTTTCCCAAGGAGGTGTGTTTGCCTCTGTGGAGTGAGTCCCAGGGAAGAACTTGGTCTCAGGCACTGCTGTTTGTGTCCACGATCTGCCTGCTGGGACCCTGCATGGCCATGGTCCTTCCTAGGTGCTGGGAGAGAAGTGAAAGTTCAAAGAAAGCTATGTAGGAAGAGGTGAGGCTTTCAACAGGGCAACGAAGCGGAGTTGGGACCAGTCAGGGTGCGCAACTTGGGCAGAGGTGATGAACCACGCTCTGAGTCAGAAGCCCATTTTTGGGGGTGTGAGGACAGCCTTGATGGCTTAAGAGGCTCCTTCAGGTCCAGAACAATGAGAGACTTCAGAATGGGTTCATGCTGTTGAATCCAAGCAGCAGCTCCTTGAGTAGTATTGAGGCCTCAGGAAGGGTGGAGAGCCTGATTGTGGACGGGGACCCTGGTGTCGGTTACTAGTGATGATTGTCAACCCCATGGACCTGTGGTGCCAGCAGTTTAGGCTAACACTGCCCAGAGGCAAGGCAAGACCAGGGGCTGATGTGCTGGCTCTCTCCTTCCCAGGCACCTGCTGCTCCTCTGGGGCCTGTGCTGCTCCTTTCCTTGGGAAAGTAGGGATATGGGTTAGAATGGTGCTGTGTGTCTGAGGGCCCATCTGCTGGACCAGTGGCCCCTTGAGAAATGGGTCTAAATCTGGGTGAGATTTGTGTCCATTCCCCTCTCCAAAGAGTCAGCGGAGCTGGAGAGAAAAGCACATGTGCTTAGGCTCAGGGGAAAGATAATGCCGTACAATTTTATATCTTCTTTTATACAGTGGCTTAGCCACACACCATTAGCACAACAGGAAGGAAAATGAATGGAAATGAAGGGTGTCAGTGGCAGATACAGATAGATGGGGCTGATTGATTTTGTTTTTTTTTTCAAGTGCAACCTGAAGCAGAAAGTCAATGAGCAGCCCTGAGCCAGAGTTGGCTAGGGCCTCAGTGAGCATGGCCACTCTGCGGCATGGTGGCCCCTGGGTCCCAGGCCCGTGTCCCCTTTGAGCTTCTCTGTGACTTGTGTTTTGGCCTCCATGGTGGACCCACTCAGCTGCCTCTTTTCTGTGCTTGTGGGGGTGGGGGTTGTTTTAGTTTTCATATAAGGATTTATTCCCTTCGGCTTCCTTGGAGGGTGGGCAGGCTCTCCAGGCCGCACACACATATTTCAGCTCTACAGAATGGACCAGCCATGGAGGACAGCAGGAATGCTGTGCATCTGGCTCTTGCGCGATTTCTCTAAGACTACCCAGCTGTAATTGATGGAAGTGGAATTTGAACTCAGTCCACCTGCTTCCAAAGCTCCTGCTCTTGTGCCCCATGATGCTGTGGGTCTGTCTTCTCCTGTCTTCTCCTCCCGACACAGACTCCTGGGCCCCATCCATGATGTGCTCCAAGCCCATTGCCCAGGCAGAGAGGGGGAGGTTTGGGGTTCCAGGGGCCATGTTTGGCTCCCGTGGGGTGGAGCCCAGGCAAATGCTTTCCTTGGAGTCCCAGGGCCTCAGAGGCTTCACCGCAAATTACTCCAGGTTCAAGGTAAGTGTTTGATGGCTCTGGTGGGACTTGGAAGAGGCTGGTCTGTGTGGCTCCAGGGTAGGACCTGGCCAGGGGCTGGAGCCTCTAGAGAATTCCATATGAAGAAAGGTTGTTTCCAGGTGGACTGGGGCTCTATCCTCTTCCATCTTCCTTGAGCTGCCGTATCTAATTGCCACAAACTGGGTGGCTTAAAATAACAGAAATTTTTTCTTCTCCCAGTGTTGGAGGCTGGAAGTCTGAAATCAAGGTGTCAGCAGGGCTGTGCTCTCTCTGAAGGCTTGAGGGAAGAATCCTTCCTTGCCTCTCGATTCCTAGCTTCTGGTGGCTTCCGGCACCCCTTGGCCTTCCATGGCTGGTAGATACCTCCTTCCGGTCTCTACCTCCATTGTCACGAGACCTTCCTTTTCTGAGTTTCCGGGTGTGCTCTCCCCTTCTCATAAAGACCCTGGACCATATAAGGATTTAGGGCCTACCCGAATCCATTATGACCTCAGCTTAACTAATTACATCTGCAAACACTCTATTTCCAAAAATGGGTTATATTCTGAGGTTGCAATAAACATGACTTGTTAGGGGGACACTACTGAACCCCCTAGATATCCTGTCTGGCTGAGTCCAGGCAGAAACTTGACCAACCCTGGCAGAGGTTAGTTAGTGGTACCAGCATTTCTTGCCCTCATAGGTCTGTCCCATGATCCAGTTGGGATGGCCATCGATGCTGTGACTGTCAGTGAGAAGCAGAGTTTCTCTGGGGCCGGCAGTATAGTTGGCGCCTCAGCCTGGGCTTTGGTGGGGGGCAGGGACAAACTGTGGCGAGTCTGTTGGCTTTCTGCTAAGCCCTCACAATCTACATTAACAAAATGTTGCTGGGTTCTTCTTGCTCATGTGGAAAGCTAGTCCCTGTTCTGCAGGTCAGCTCCAGGACAGATAGGCTGAGTGAGGTTGGAGGGCAAAGGCATAAGCTTTGGATCAACAGACTTGTGTTCACTTCCTGGCTGTGTGTGACTTTACCTCCCTGAGCTGTGGAGTTGGTGAGTGTTTCTCCCTAATAGGGTTGGGTGAGGAGGTCATGGGATAAAGCATGGACATTACCCCACAGTGCCCCACAGCTGGGAGCTGCCTTTCCTTTCCAGCTAGTTTGTGATCTTCTAGAAGGTGGGGTGCTGTTCGCTCCTTCTGTGTGTAAAGTTTCGCAGGCGAGGTAAACACAACACCAGGCAAGGTGGGCGCAAGGCAAGATTTATTAAAGGCATCTCCTGCCAAGTTTCAGGTTTCTGGAGAAGGGGAGCCAGGAAAGTCCTACCGGGAGGAGGTGGGCACCCTCGGGCGAGGTTCCTGGACTCCAGAAAGGGGAGTGAGGGAAGTCGCACTGGGAGGGAGTTGGTGGGGGAGGGGTCTTTTATCGGGCCAAGGTAGGGCATGGGCTCACATCCATATTTGGTGATCGGAAGGTATGGGGTGAGGGCTCCTGATACTCCTGTTTCCTGCATAGGTATCGGGTTACCTATGGAGCTGTGACCTGGGCATACATCTTTTTGGCAGGAGAGTCTATGGTTAAGGAAGGGGGTGGGGAGGGGACTGGAAGATGGTGGCCCCAGTGGTCATTTCTATTGTTCCTCCTGCATTGCTGACCCAACACTGTGTACTTTTCCATGTGTCCTCTGGGGCTTGGTATAAAGGTGGAGGCTTGGGATGCGTGAAGGATGAGTGGCCCTTTGCTGATGTCTTTTCTGTGCCTGGTCTGAGCTCAGCGCTGGGCCTCTGAAGGCAAACTGGATGGAATCACTGCCCTCAGGGAGCCCCCCGGGCTAAGCAGGGGCAGGACACAGATCCGCTGGCCTCTCTGTGTCCAGGATAATTGTAGGTGCAATGCGGTGGAGTTTGTGTATGGTACAGGGAGGTTGCCTGAGAAGGTTCATGGGGCATGTTTTAGGGTGAATCCTGAAGATAAATTTTTCCAGGGAGTCGGGAAGGGTGTTTCAGGCATTCCAGGTAAAGCCTGGTAGAGTTGTGGAGCTCCCATGGAGCCTGGGCAGGCTGGATCTGATGGGCCCCGGGTCCTGACAGAGAATGGCCAAGGGGCAACATGACCCCTCAGCCCCAGCCCTTGGTTTTTGGAGCTCAGGGACGGTGAGGTCAGGTCAGGTGAGGCTGACCACCTAGTCAAAGTGATTCCTGTGTCCAAGTCTTTACGTAACACACAGAAATGCTATTACCCTGGAGTGGGAATAAGAGAACTAATTCCCCTTACATAGCTCCGTGTTCATTTTCTCTATTCCCTTCCAGCCCTTGGTCCATAGATGTATTTTTAATCGTAACACAACTTCAGTGTTGGTCACAGCTTTCACATTTTTCACTGTAGCTACAGTTTTGCTAATTATCGTTTTGGGGGCTGCCTACGTTGGCCATTAAAGTGGCTCTTGAATTTATTTAAATACGCCCCTTTGTGAGAAGCTTCGCTTGCTGGGACTGTTTCCGGTTTCTGGATATTATGCATCGTGCCATGCTGACCGTCTCGAAGTCACCCTATTCCTTCTCAGTGTTTTCCCAGAAAAAGTGAGACTGCTGGGTCCGAGAGTATGGGCATGTCCATGGTACTTGGAGTCGTGATGCCGTGCTGTTTTCAGGAAGGACCGTTTCCCCATCAGTTTTACTCTAACGCAACGAGCATTTGGCGCGGCACTGACCAACCTTTGTTGTTCTTTACTGCTATTTTAATAGATGTGAAATGACTTCCCATTTGATTACCAGCGAGCTGGAGCCTTTCTCCTTATGTGTGTTTAGCTTAGTGATGTCCTCACATGCATTTCTGTCCAGCCCATTCATCTGTTGGCGTCTCCAAGTTTTCATGCCGATTTGTGTGAACTCTTCCTGTTACGGCCTGTCAACACTCAGCCTGATACCATGCTGCAAATATTTTTCTGGGACTGTTGTAATTTTAAGTTATCTCATTCCATTTCTACAAAGATTTGGTACTTTTATGGTGTTGAATTTGTTACTTTTTTGGGCTACTTCCTTTTATCAGTGTGAACAGATCAATTATTTTCTGCTAAATTTTACTTTCATTTGACTTCTCCATTTGCCTCTTTAATCCCACCAGGGTTTATTTTTTGGTGTGAGAGGTAAAGTATGTTTCTGAATTAATTACTTTTCCATGAAACTTTCCAGTTATCACAGCGCAGTTTATTAATTGAGAATTTCTTTCTCCATTGTTTGGTGATGCCCACCTCATGATATATTACATTATCATACAGTTAGGTCTATTTCTGGATTTTAAGATTCAGATCCATATTTCTGTATTTGTGCCAGTTATATAGTACTTTAATTATTATTGCCTCATAATGTATTTTTATATGTAGTTTCCTCTCATTTTTTTCCTTTATGGAATTTCATTTAATGGTCTCATCTGTTTATTTTCAAAATGATTTTATAATAGTTTTATTTAATTCCTTTAGGAAATCCTTTTGAGATTTTGATTGGGATTGAATTAAATTTATAAATTAACTTTTGTGAACTTTGACATTTTTATAACAAAGTCATCCCAGCTGGGAATAGTTGTTTTCTGTATTTATTCAAATCAAATTCAAATATAACTTTTATAACTCCCAGTAAAGTTTGCTAGTTTTCTTTAGTAGTTCATGCACATCTCTCATTAAGTTTATATCTAAATAGTTATATTCTTTGTTGCTTCTGTGAATGGGCTCCCCTTTTGCTTTATTTTAGATTTATGCCTGTCTAGAATACAGTAGTAGAATAATTCCGTTTAAAAGATCATGCTTTTTATTTACTGTATAACCTAAATGGTATTAACAATTGCAGAACTCAAAGTAGTAACCCCAATTCTCACTTTTTTTTTTTTTTAAGATTTTATTTATTTATTTGACAGAGAGAGACACAGTAAGAGGGGGAACACAAGCAGGGGGAGTGGGAGAGGGAGAAGTGATCCCAGGACCTTGGGATCATGACCTGAGCCAAAGGCAGACGCTTAACGACTGAGCCACCCAGGTGTCCCTCAATCTCACCATTTTAAGAGGCAAATGATGTTAATTTTTTTGTGGCTCCTCCTAGAACTTATCTGCAAACAGATGTGCACAGCTATAACCTCAGTGGTGACCCATTTTAGAGAACCCATGGCTTCTCTTATATTTTATCAGAAGCATTTTCCCCTCTTGCTGAAGAGTTTGGTTAGTGATTGCATGTGAACCGTGGGGACTGAATGTGGGTTCTTAGCCATCCTGAGGAGTGTACAGGGTGTGGGAGACAGGCTGTGGCTGCTGGCTGTGGTGTGGAAGGTGCTGTGATTAATGTGTGTCTGGTGGAGTGGGTACTGGGGAGACCACTTGGTTCCCAGTAAGGCTTGCCAGGGCGAGGCCAACCCAGCTCCATGAACCTCCCTGGAAACAGGAGGAGCCAGGAGTCAGAAGCACAGTCTGCAGGAGAGAAGGGGGAGGTGACTTTGGAATCCACTGATCGAAATTGCCCTCCACGGTCCAGATGACCAGGATGCTTTCCAGATCTCTTTGGCTTTGGTGCCGGGTGGGCACAGTATACATCTTATTGGCATATCTCCCTGCCTGATCATTCCTTTTCTCAAACGTTTGGTGAGTGCCTGAAGAGTGTTGTTAGGTACAGGGGACGCCGATGAATAAGACAAGCTCCAAAGTGATGTCATCACTGGGCAAAGCCCCGCCCCGCTACTCCTGGTATGGACATTCATGCTGACCAGTCTCGCTGGTGCCAACTTCAGGGGACACCTGTGCATGCTGGCTGCACCACAGTGCATTTCTCTAGTCCATTCACTCTGCCATTGCCCTTGACTTTCCTTCTCTTCCCTTTGCAGACCCGCAAACACCTGTTATCTCCTATGGCTGCCCACCCCCCTAGCAGAAGACCTGCTTCCTATATATTTCATGGAGAAAAGAGAAGCCCAAGGAATAGAATCAACCCGTGCTCACCGCCATATCAGCACCCCCACCAGTCTGTGCTCTGGGTCCCTCTGAGGACCATGCCCCCACCTGAGGAACCCCTCCCCTTAGCACGAGGTCCCTCTGGCTCACTCAAGGCTCTCACCAGCAGTTCTCCCTTTTCTCCTTCATGGAGTGTACATCGTTCCTGTTAGCTCACCAGGACGCTGGGCTGTCTCCTGCCTCAGGAAGTTCCTTGCTTGGCACCGCCCCCTCTCCCTTACTGCCCCATTGTCTATGCCTTTACTGCCGATCTGTGTGCTCAGCCTTCAATGCCTTCCCCTCCACTCGCTCCTGAATCCCACCAGTTGGGCATGACCTCAGGACGCCGGCAGAACTGCTCCCAGTGACCCATCACCTCAGTCCTCCTCTTCCCTGACCCACTGGCAGCACGGGGGACTCCCAGCGCTGCCCTGCCCCTTTCTACTGGGCTCAGAACAGCAGGCTCCCTCCTCCCAGCTCTCTGACCACCTTCCAGGTGCTACTATTGGGTCCTTCTCACCTCCCTGCTGCTACACATTGTGCTGTCCCATACCTTAGACCTTGAATGTCTTGCTTCTCCAGTTACACTCTCTTCCCTGGTAGACAGGACTCTACCAGACCAGACTCTTCTCTGACCAGAGTCACATGAGTGAGTCATAAGTGTCCCATTCTGCTGGCCTCTGTCCTCAATTCCAGCCTCTTTTGTCACTTCGATGCTCGGTTGCCCACTTGAGTGGCTAATAGACTTCTCTGAGGTGCAGGTCCCCAGCCAAGCCTGTTCTTCAGCCCAGGCAGGATCCCCAGATCCTCTCCATCTGCTCATTGTTCCCAGTGCTCGGGTCCAAAGGGGTCCCCCTCACTCTCCTCTTTTCCTTGTGCACTGGCCACCCATCCTTCCTGCTGGTGCCACTACTGCCCCATAGCTGTGGCTCTGCTCTGAGCCACCACCGTCTCTCGCCCGGATTCTCAGAATGCCCTCCCAGCTTCTGTCTTTCCCCCTTCAGTCTGTGTGCAACACAGCAGCAGCTGGAATAATGCTGGTACGAACAACTCACATCTCCCCGCTCCTCTGATCAAAACCCCTTGTGGTTCCCCATATCACAGGGCAAAATCTGGTGACGGTGGGATCAGGCCCTGTGCAGCTCTGCCTCTCCACCCCTACCCATCTCGCTACACTGCTCCTTGCTGTCCTTGAGCACCGGGTGACTCCCCCTTGAAGACAGACTCTGCCCGCTACACCCCCCACCCCCGGGCCTCTGTCCCACCTGTTATTCCCAGAGCTCTGAAGGCTCCTGCCTTGCCCTGAGCTCTGCTCAAGTATCCCCTCAGGGAGGTTTCCTAGCCCCTTTCAGTGCTCCTCTACCATTGGCTTACAAGATGCCCTTTTCTGATTTAGTTTTACCCACGACTGGGACCACCAACGAATCTGTAATCTGCTTGGTCATTTTCAACTGTCTTGACTGTAGTGCAAGTCTGGGGCATCAGAGATGCTCTTCCAGTGTGGATCGGCTTGTCCCAGCACAGTGCCCGGACCAGAGTGAGCACTGCTGTTGTCTGTGGGACGAATGAGGGGTGAGTGAACGCCTTCCACCCCACCCGCGTCCTTGCACTGCCCCGGTGGATCCCACCTTCTGCATGGCTGATGAAGACGCTCCTCCTAAGGGCAGCATCTTCATTCTGAAAGCTTGATGGGATGCAGGTTTGGGAGAAGGCGGCTGGCGGGGTGCGTAAAGTGTCCTCCAAATTGCAAAGGCACGTTGAGACCAGAGAACAAAGCAGGCCACTCTGCACAATTTACTTGGAGTTTTATTCAGGGTCCCTTATGGACAAGGGAGATCGGGCGGGGGACGATCTGTGGCTGCTGCATAATTATTTCTCCACAAAATCCAGACCTTAGTCCACAGATTTCCTAGAATGAGGGGACACGAAAAAGGGCATTGCAATGATGCACCTGTGCCTCAAAGGGCTTGCATGTACCTGATTGACAGATGACCTTCAATTAGATCTTGGGGCACCACCTGTGCATCAGGAAGGGGAAAGACAGCGTTGTCTCTAACAGATTCCAAACAGAAGCCAAAGCAAATCGTCCCCCTGTCTTGGCCTTAGTAGGCATTTCTGGAGTACGTCTGATAATCTCCAAGAGGCCGAGAACAGGCCCAGAAAATGTAGCCCTAAGAGAGGTCATTGAGCAAACATGAACAAGATGGAGGGCAAGAGATGGAGTCCGTATTGCCAACCCTTCTGCTCTGTGAATGCTCACTGTCCCCACTCCTGTGGGGCCACACCCCTGGACCTGGGGCCTGGGGCATCGAACAACAGCTTGCTTTGTGGAAAATACAGAAGAGTGCTGGTTTGGGGTTTTTGTTTGAAATGTAGTATACAGAATAATAACAATAAAAGAAAAAAGTCTTTAACACGTAAATGGCTCTGTTTGGCAGAGCCAAGTAATCAAATCAAATGGTTCTTCTTTTATGCCCACCCCAATTCCCCAGGCATTTGCTGGCTCTGAAGAGTTCCTGTGGGGCTTTGTGAGCAAGCTCGTGGGGGCGGCTATGGGGCCAGGGCAACGAGGCCTCAGGGGTGCCTGCCTGTTGGGGGTCGGGGCAGGACATGGGGGGGTGGGGCTGCTGATTCTTTCTCCCTGGCCGCTGGTGCCTGCGTGTGAGACCCCGGGAGCCATGTGGTAGCCTTGAAAGGGCGCTGTGTGTGCGTGTCTGTACAAAAGTCTGGGTATCTAGGAGAACCTGGGCTTTGGGGACCTTCTCACAACCTCTGGACCTGTTCTGGGCTGAGCACTGTGCCAGGAGTGGGAGCGGTTTCCAGGCCTGGGTCTGCAGCAGGGGCGACTCGTGGTCAGGCCACTGGGCCTACCTGTGATTTTCTTAGGGCCCAGGCCCTGTGTGCCCTCTTTCACCAAGTCCATTTGTCTGTCCCCATCCACCTCTTATACATACATATACACTCATACACATATATACTCACATACTCGCACTCATCCCCACACTCACCCACACCCATGCTCACTACACACTCACGCAGCCATCCCTGCACACACACTCACAGAAACACCTTGTCCTCCAGGAGAGGCTGGAGGGAGCGGGGTGAAGGGATAGCCCTGGGCACAGATAGGCTCCCTCTTCTGCCCTGGGAAGAGCGGGTTTCTGTTTCTCTTGAGGCCCAAGGAGGAGCCCACGCTCAACGCTCACCATGAGCTGACCCACAAGCACAGTGGCTCTGGCATCCTGAGAGCAGAGCCTTTCTTCCTGGCATGTTGATGCTTCCCTGGGGTGTGTGGCTGCAGGGCGACATGGGGATGCATTTTTCTTGCCACTCTGGCATTCTTGTGCATCTCGAAACCGAGCTTGCAGATGGGCAGACAAAGAGCTCCCTGCAGCTGGGGGCCCGTGAAGACACCACTGTCCCACAGCAAGGGCAGAGTCGGGGGGCGTGGTGCCCCTGAGTGAGCTGGGGGTCAGCTTCCTTCCCTGGACAGGCCTGCAGCTCCGCTTCCCCTGCGCCTGCCAGTGGAGTGAGGGGTGTCTGTGTAGGGGAAGCCAGAGGCTCCCCGTATGGTGTGCGGGCACCACAGCCACCCCCCCCCCCCCCCCGCGCTCTAGTTTCTAGGCTTGGCAGCCCAGACCCCGGATGATGATGACAGTGAAGGGGAGGAGGGAGCTCTGGCCTGGGTTTGAGTCCTTTTACTTGTGGAGCCCTGGTGGGGTCATTGTCCTGGATTTTCTCTATCAAATCAGTGTGCTCACCACCCCTCACCCCTCGCATCACGGCCCTCTCCCGAAGGACCTCGGTACGTGCTGTGTCTATACTTCACGGGCTCAGGGGGTGGCACTGGCATTATCAAACAGTGCTTTGCTCCAGATATGGGGATGAGCTGGACGCCATCTTTGTTCCCACGGAGCTCTGTCTGGAGGGGTGATGGGCATGGAAACAGAAACCCAGGACTTCATTGATCCCCGCAGCAGGTGAGATGAGCACAGGGGCTGGGGTCACAAACGGCAGCCCAGAACGGTCCCTCACCCAGGAGGGAGTGTCAGGAGGGCTTTCTGGAGGAGGATGGCCCACACCAAGGCCCACAGGGTGAGTGGGATTCTTGTCCTGTGTCCCTGGGCTGAGTCAGGGCTGGTGCTGAGCAGGCTGCTGTGGGGTGAGCTGGTGCTGTCTGGGGAGGCCTGGTCCTCAGTTCAGCCTACGCCTTCCCTGGGGGTGACTCCTGCTGTCTTTGGGCTCCTCAGCTGCCCTTCCTCCAACTAGCCTCTGATGCTATCTCTGGGCTAAGCCTTGGGCCTGGCCAGGGACTGTAGAGTGGGTGGGGTCTGGGAGTGGGGACCTGGGTTCTCCGCTTCTTCCATTCTGACCTGCTTGGGTGGGTTGTGGACCTGGAGACTCCCATGCCTCCCTTCCCGCCCTCCCTGCGCCTGTGCTCTTCGCTGGTTTGTCACTGAGCTTCATGCACACGGCCCGGAGCGGCCACACTCCTGGTGGGCTCTGAGCTGCTGGGAGCAGGGGGCTGGGACTCCTGTGATGTTTATGAGCTCTCCTGGTCCTGTGAGACTCCTAGGGCCTGGCACATTTGTTGCTCTTTCCTGTGCTTTGCTGGATTGGGATGTGTACGGTCAGGATCTCACTGCCCTCCCTGGGGTGCTTTCTTTCCAGGGCTGCTTTCTCTGGCTTGGGCTTCAGGGATGGAGTGTGATACGATGGCAGGTTTTCCCTCTGTTTTCTGTGAAGTATTGGTACTTCCCACAAAGGCCCCTTGCCTCGCCCCATGGTACTACTTCCTGTTTCCCAGACATGCTGCCTGTGGCCTTTCATGCTTTGTCTTTGCTATTTCTTTACCTGGATTATCCTTTAAGAGGTAACTGTGGCTCAGTTGGTTAAGCACCTGACTCTTGGTTTTAGCTCAGATCATGATCTTGGGGTCCTGAGATCCAGCCCCACATAGGGCTCTGTGCTTATCATGGAGTCTGCTTGATCCTCTCCCTCTTCTCCACCCCCTGCTGTCTCTCTCATAAGTAAATAA